CAAACCAAATTTGACAAGGGATGACGGAAAATCGTTCCACAATACATAAATTTAAATATATTTTAACTTAATATTTTATTAAAAATACCTGTACAAACCTCTTCTCCTTGCTAGAGTCAATTTTTGTTTACTTTTGCATTTGACATTCCTCCTCCTCTTCGCAAGTATAATCGATAGAACTAGGTTGGACACCAAAAAGTTATCGGTTTAATCTGAGATTATTTTATAAATTTAATTTTGTATTGCTAATCTCTTTTTATAATTACAGATTAGGGAGTTTAGCTCGAAAGTGAGGATATTCTACTTATATGTAAACCCATTATTAGGCAATTCGTTACATACATATATACACGTGTACACTGAGAAAAAGGATTAGTTTCGACAACTAAAGATATTTAGTTCCCGAATTTTGACAATATTTGGGAACTGTTACCAAGGATTGGGAACTATTACCATCGATTGGTTATTATAACTAAATATATTAAAGCTTCTAATATTCATCTAGGTTGTAACAAATCGTTAATTTAGTTGAAGGGTTTGGTTAATACTAATAAATATTTCTTTGAAGCATATTTCTACAAATTCCATTCAACTTAACGTATGGTTCATAAAAGGATGTTATTAAGCTCTGCTGATGCAGATAAGCTTTCTTTCAACACGTGGTTTAGTCATAGTTACCAAATCTTAGTTGAAGCAACCACGATTTGGTTTGAGAGTGGAACATATTCATGCTTGTGAGCCACCCCTAAAGAATGCTGAGCGCTCTCTGAGCACATACGAAGAGCGCCAGCTGAGCAATGCACACAGTCCCACTTATTGAATCGTTTGAATGCGCTAGTATGCCGACCATTGCATTGTGCGTGGAAATCATTGCTCCGCTACCGCTGTTCGTATATGGGTGAAACACGCATGTGGTCCCAGAGCGCTCAGTAAGCTATGGCATGTCGATCGCTGCGCCATGTGTGCTATGACATGCCCATACTTGTTTGTCACAGTTTCAGTTTTGCTATCATCGCGGGTTGTTTCGGTGCGCGCATAGTTTAAAGTTTAATTAAAAATATAAAGTTTGATGCCAACCGGGGTTTTTCAGTGGATATATAATTCATGTGAATTATAATTTGAAAGTGTCTATTTAGCTAAGGAAAAAGCAAGGCAGTATACTTCCAGCAGATATTGACCTGGGTTTTCGCACGACTGTTCTTGTTTCATCGTTCTTTTTTAGGAAATTCTTACCACCATACACATATGTATTATTTACTTTAGTAACTAACTTATGTAAATATGTACGTATTTTTATGCTTAATATATGCAAATAAAAGAAGAAAGTAAACACAACAAACATCGAGTAAATTTTTATTTGTGTCAAACTGAAACTTTTTTCCCAATAATAAACGGTTAGCTAATTCAAGTCTACGGCAAGTTCACAAAATTAATTAAAAACTTGTATCAACCAAAGCATTGTTTATATTTGCTCAACAATGATTTTATTCAACTAACAATATTGTCCAATCAAGGGAGTCGTTTTGTAATTATTAACAAATATACATTTGTCCCAACTAGAAGTCTTAAGTAAATTGCAGACTTTCGTGAACTATATATTTATTTCGCCATATCCAACTATGCCACTTGATCACTATAACCAAATCTTGGTTATTATAACTAAACCTTTTTCTGGGTGTAGGTAAGGTTAGAAATTAAACATTAATTTCACTCAACAATTTTATTCAACAATTAATTTCACTTAATTTTATTCATTTTGCCGATTTAATTTTTTTATTCATTTTCATTTGTAATTCTTTTAAAACATGAAATAATCGGTATGATTGATAAAATATGATACTTGTAAAATATCTTGAAAACACCGCAGCAATTACTGTTTTTGAGCTTGTAGTTTGAGCATTTCTATTTGAATATATTCCTAAATTTAGTTTTACTTTTAGGGATATAATCTGTGGTTCGACTTCATCTGAATACATATAACATACCATCTTTTGTTTGCAAAATGGGAAGCTAAACACATTTGTTCGGCATTTCCTCTTACGCAATGAACTTACAGGTTTTTACACTAACTTGCAGGAAGTAACAGGAAAAATGATCCCGTAGTGCAAAACCCTGTAAATGATTGCAATTTTTGGATAGTGGTGTAGAGAATGAAGTTGCAAGATTTTACCCGATGCTTTTTTTGCTCCTGTACTTTTTGCTATTACTCACTTTTTATTCTCACTTCAGAGAGTAATTTTGCTGTTTGACATTTTTACAGGATTTTACACGAAAAGTATTGGATCAGAGCTATTATATCATCAATACATATGTATATATACATGTATACATGTATGTTCATCAGATATCAAAGAACCCAGTTAAAATGAGTTTAGTATTTTTAAAATTTCGCCCTGCTTTTTTATCAATAGATTACTAAACTTATGCCTAAAACCATGCTACGAATATCAAAACTACTTGCAACAAATGTGTTCATACATATGTATGTATGTACATGCAAACTTAAGTACGTGTGCATTTAGGTACACAGCCGAATGCATGCGCGGAGTTGTATAATCGGAAATAATAAAATTTGTTTCGCATTTCCTCTTACTTTGCATATGCCTAAATGTATGCAACTATTTGCAATAGCAAGTAAACACAGGGTGCTTATAATGAAAATAATACTTATCTGCTGCAATACACATCCCTTTACACAGCCCTTCGAAAAAA